GGTGGGAGGGGTGTAGGCAGCCTGGCTGACTCCTGTCCTCTTCCCCCAGGGCGAGATTGGATCCGATGGACGGAGGGTAAGAAAAGACATTTCCTCCCTTGCATGTTGTTCCAGCCACCCACCCTTCAGTGCTTAACCCATCACTGATGCCTCTTTTTCCTTCCCCTCCACCCCAGGGTGCCCCTGGCTTGGCAGGCAGGAATGGCACCGATGGACAGAAGGTAACACCCCTTGGGACCACCCCGTAATGTGGCTGCTGCTGTTTCATTTCTTCACCCATCCTTGGCCCCACAGGTGGTTTTGTTTCTCCTACCCCATCTTTAGCTTTTTGTTCTGACTGAGGATTCCAGAACTTGTTTGTACCTGTAGAATGACTTGGGCTAGCTGGAGATGAATGAGTTCAGGTCACAGGAGTGCTGTCCCTTCATCAGCAAGCTCTCTGCAGGAGAGAAATGTGTAACCCAGGCTGTGCTTCAGCTGCAGGAGGTGTTCATCTGGGTGTAGATATCTCATCTTGAGCACTGGGGAGCCCTACAGGACATTTACACTGAAAGCTTTGCAGAAATTGGGTTTTCAAGGCCGTTTGTCACAGAATATGGGATTTTGTCTCTAAGCTACTGCTTGTTCTTAACATTAAAGCCCCAAAGCCAGGTTCAGGCACCTTGTAACCAAGTCCCTGAAACTCTCTGTCCCCTCTGTGGTGCACATAGACCTTCCTTAGGTCTTTAAAACCTTAGGTCTTAGGTTTTTTAGGTGACTGCCCAACCCAGCCTCGAGGGATGTGTCCAGCACCCAGGGGACATGTGTGGGATGACCGTGCTTGGATTCCCACCAACCCAAATGCTGCCTCTCAGGGCTTTCAGATGACCTTCTCCTTCTCCATTTGCCTCTGCACACCCCACTCCTGTTTAAGGAGTAGGTTTGCTGTTTATTCTCTAGCTGATCACTGGCATGGTCAGCAGATGACTGAAAAATCAGCCAGGGTTAAGAAGATAAAGCCATCTTAAAGCCCTTCAGACACCTACAGCTTCTGTCTTCTTTTGAATCTCATCTCTCCAGGGCAAGCTGGGGAGAATTGGACCACCAGGCTGCAAGGGTGACCCCGGTGACAAGGTAAGGACCATTTTACTCCTTCATCAGTTGTACAGCTGCTGGATGAGTTGCATGTGTAGAAAGATGGCCAACAAGAGGTCACTGGCCCATTTTCCTACTGGTTGCACGATCTGATCCCAGGCTTGGGATCCCCAGATTGGGGAGTGTAGCCTGGGAGGGTTTTTTGTGCCTCATTTCCTTGGGGGTGTGAGCTGGGATCCCTGCATGGCCCTCCCTCCAAACAGAGGGGAGGAGCTGCTCCTTTCATCAACACCAGCAACGAGAAAAACTGTTTCAATCTCTAGAGCAACTTTCTAAGAGCAACTTTCTAAGAGCAACTTTCTAAGAGCAACTTTCTAAGCCAGTTGATTTATTCTGTGGGGAAAATGCACGTTGTTACCACTGCAAAATGTGTGGTTCTTGGTCTTTTCCCTCCCTAGGGCCCTGAGGGCTACCCAGGAGATGCAGGAGACCAAGGTGAAAGAGGAGATGAAGGCATAAAGGTACAAGTGCTCTCAACACTGTTGCCTGTATTTGCTCTTCAAGCTTTCTTGTCCCCCAGAAGCTCTGGGGTCTGGATGTCACCACCAGACACAGGAGGGAAGGGAAGAGCCTTGCTGGCCCTGCTCCTTCAGCTGCTCCTGGTGCAGGTCAGCAGGGCACAGCCCCTTGCTGGTGGCACAGGCAATGACCATGGCTCTTTGGCTCTTCCAGGGAGATCCTGGCCGACCTGGCCGCAGCGGACCCCCGGGACCTCCAGGAGAAAAAGGGAGCCCGGTAGGTTCATGAAGGGTTTGGATCTCTCCAGTGTCTTATTAGGGTCACCTCCACGTTGGATGGAGCCAGAGCAGTGTCAACTGGTGGCCAAGAGGCAGCCACAAAGCTGACTGCTTGCCAAGGCCTCCTGGTGATCCTGCAAAGGAAGCCCACCAGGAAGCACAAAGGCTCTAGGTGGCCAAGTGAGCTTGCCCACCACGTGTCCTCAGCCCTACAGTGGGAAACATCACCTGGGCAACAGGAGAGGGGACTGCACAACCTCCCTGGAGCTGCCCAGAGCCAAAGGAGAATGGGTCTCAAGCATTTATCCAGAGCAGAGAAAAGCAAAACAGACTTAGGAGGATTTACCTTTCCAGCTGATCCCCTGCCTGGCATCTTTCCTTCTCTTCCCACCTTCTCTGTGGTCCCCCCTGCCACAGCTTCACCAGTTCCTCAGTTGTGGCAGAGCCAAGGGTTTGCAGGCTGGTTGGATTCAAGCCTTTGCTTGTGGGTTGGTGGAGAAAAGTCCACACACAGCATCCCACTGCTCCAAGGCTGGAGCCTGTGCACCCTGCAGGCGTGGTGGGGGTGTGGAAGGGGAATTTGTGTGCTCAGATGCACCAGGGTGGGCTGCTGAGCACGGAGCAAGAGGTGGGTGTCTGCACTTTGACCTCCTTGTGTTTCTTTTTCTTCTCCCAGGGACTTCCAGGCAACCCTGGAGCTCAAGGGCCTGCTGGAAGTAAGGGAAGAAAAGGTGAAACGGGATCTCCTGGACCCAAAGGAGAGTTTGTAAGTGTCTGGGCAGCTCTCTGGACAGTGGGCACACCCCAGGAGCTCTGAGAAGCTGCCCTGTGTAGCCTGCCCACCCTGCCCTCTGCACCCCACGGGCACCAAGAGGCCAGAGCCCAGTTCTTGGGCAAGATCTGGTGGAGGAAGCAACTGCCAGAGGAGCTGGAAGTGAAGCAGAGCCTTTAACCCTGAGGGAATGAACCATGAGTATTTTTGGTCCCTGCAGTGACCACCCTCCTGAAAGAACAGTCTGACTGCAGCTCCCAAAAAGCCAAAGGCAAGATGCCCCAAGCAGTGCCAGCATGGGCACCTCTGCTCCTCTGCTGCCAGGAACATGCTTGCTGAGGGGGCAAGGAGATGTCCCTTGGGCCAGGAGGGAGAAGGCAGGGCAGCCAGGATCCACTGCTCAGCTAGCAGCCTCCTTCACACCCCATTTATGGGATTTTTCTGTGTCTACCAAGGGTCGACGTGGAGATCCAGGAACAAAAGGCAGCAAGGGCACTCCTGGGGCCAAAGGAGAAAGGGTGAGTAAAGAAACTGCCCAAACCATGGCAAACCAAGATGCTCGGGGCTGGAGTGTGTGATATGTTACTGCCCAGCCACGAGAAGTCCAACAGCAGAGCTGGGAGCTGCAGATCCTGGTGGGCTCTGCTCCCACTCTGCCTGCTCCCTGCCCTGCTGATGGTGGGTTCAGCCTCTTCTTCCAGGGATTGAGCCAGAGAGGGGTGAAAAAGGGCAGAAAAGCTCAAGGCTGAGCTGTTCAGTGGGCACGCTGCCCTGACGTGGTGTTTCAAGGAGAGAAACACCAGATTTGAGAACAGCCTCGTGCCTCCCCTCTCCAAGGAGCACACAAACAGCACTGGAGACAACCCTGACCAGGAATATCTTTCCCTTCCTCACAGGGAGATCCTGGTCCAGAGGGTCCTCGTGGCCTGCCCGGAGAGGTTGGAAACAAAGGAGCAAGGGTAAGCAAGCACAGAGCAAGGGCTGGTGACAGCCAGGAGGGAGGGGGAACTGCTGCTGCCACCCAGAGCAGCTCACTCAGCTTTCCTCCTCAGGCCCACACCTGCCTCTGCATCTTCTTGCTTTGCTTTGCAGGGAGACCAAGGATTGCCAGGACCTCGAGGACCTCCAGGTGCTGTAGGAGAGCCAGGCAAGATAGTAAGTCCTCCTGAGGCATCTGTGTGACCACCTCCTCCTCCTGTGGTGGGTGACAGAAGCTGGCTGCACTTCTGAGGAGCTTCTGCAAGCTTCTCCCAAGGAGAGCTTGCTTGACCTTTTCTCAGGGAAGCTCAAAAATTATCCCTGAGGCTCCTGGCTAACCCTTCCCAGGGCAAGGAGAAACTGCAGGACCCAAGAGTCCCTGCTTCTCCATCACCCCTGGTCCTTGGCATTCCCATGGCAACAGGGAAGGCACCACGTCAGAGCAGGTCATGGGGTGAGGAGAGATGGGGCTCTCTGGGGGGGTCCCATTTGTCCTGGGTCTGGGGTTCATCCAGCACCCCACCCTGGCAGTGGTGCTGTGGCTCCACAGAACGTGGAAACCCCAGTGCTGAGTGAGTCACTGTCCCAGTAACCTCACTGGGAGGGATGATGGTCCTGCAGCATCACCCCAAGAGCTGGTATCTCCAGCACAGGCCCTCGTGGGGCAGAGGAGCCCCAGGGAACCTCCTCACCTGCTTTCTCCACTCTCCCCATCACTATTCTGCAGGGATCACGTGGGGACCCTGGTGACTTGGGCCCAAGAGGTGACGCAGGACCACCAGGACCAAAGGTAAAGTCCCTGGAGGCAACTCTGCCTTTGAAAAGCTCTTTTGGGGGGCTTTTTTTATTATTTTTTCTTTTTAAAGTTAGTTTTCACTACAGAAACTTGTGCACCTCGGGAGGAGAATGGCTCAAACGTGAGGCTCCCTATGGGGCAGGGATCTAGGTCTTGTTCTGGCCAAGGCAGATCTGACTGAACCACTCACCCTGCCCAGTTTCTGGGGTGTCCCTGGCAGGGGACATCCCCAGGACCCTGTGAAGCCTGGCTCTGCACAGCCATTCCCAGGACTTCAGGGCCAGCTGCAGACCCCCCAGCTCCTGGAGGTGTCCCACCCCAGCTCCTGGAGGTGTCCCACCCCAGGAGAAGATGAAAACAGCTCTGACTGTCCCTGGCATGGCCAGGTCAGGAAGGTTGGATGTGCTTCCTGATGGGTCATTTCTTTCCTTCCCAAGGGTGACAGAGGCAGACCTGGCTTTAGCTACCCTGGCCCCAGAGGACCACAGGTAAGTAGACCTCATCCAGCATGGATGGAGGTGTCGTGGGGCAGCCTGTTTCAGTGGAGGGTGCTGTTGGAGCTGAGCAGCCTGGGAGAAGAGGGTGGGAGGAAGAAAAATGATTTGGGTCCCCAAAAGTGACGCCTGCAATTGAACCCTGGGATGGAACCTGGCTGCAGCAACCTCCAGCTCCTGGTAGAGGTGCTGGAGACCCTGATGATGCTGGGGATGGGGAGGTGGCTGCACCCACCACCCCAACCATCAGCCTGGAGGTCCATCTGCTGCTCAGCTTTGTGTCCCTCGCTGCAGACTTCAGATGTAGGCGTGCACGGCGTGGGGGCTGGTGCATGCCAGCTGCTGACCTCTCCCTCCTCTCCCTTTGCAGGGTGACAAGGGTGAGAAGGGGCAGCCAGGACCGAGGGTGAGTGTTTGCCTCCATCTCCTGCTCCTCATGCTGGGTGGTTGTCCCCTGAGGCCGCGGGTGCGTGGCTGGGGAGCCCATCCTGCCCATTGCTGAGGTGCTTGGGGGTCCCTCCCAAGCCCACCTCCCTTTGGAAGCTGTCTGAAAGATGCTTTGCAAAACTTCTTTGCTCTTAGTTAACAGCTGCTGGTTTAGAGGGTGCTCTCCTGGCTCAGGGTGCTTTGGGCAGGTTCCTGGTTGTGCCTCTGCCTGGGCGCATCCGGATGTGCTCCGTGCCAGCTCTGTTTCTCCTTCCTTTGAGCAGGGAGTCAGGGGGGACCTTGGACCCAAAGGAGCGCAAGGGACCAAAGGAGAGAAGGGGGAACCGGTAAGCAGACTTGCCCCGGGGTCAGCACCACCCTCCCCTACCCCTGCCAGGCTCTCCTGCCTGCCCCATGCCCCCAGGCTCAGCAGTGCCAGGCGGGTGGCCACACCTAGGCGGGCTGGCGCCGAC